GGATAAAATTAACCATCGCCACCCACTCACCGCCTTACAGTAGAATGTTCAGGAATTCGACTGAGTCTTTCTGGTTTTCTTCCAGCGTTTGTGGCTAATTCCAAACGAGAAGTGGACTGACTGAAAGGAAGCATCCTAAAACCTTACTATGTGTTGCCTGATTAAAAGTTACTATTAAGTGATATGAAAAACATGTCCAAAGATGGCAAAAGAAAATAATTTGCAGTGATTTTTTGAGTGTCTCGAATGAATCGATGGCGGCGGGTTCACGTTGCGAGAAGAGAGGAAATGCGTGGCGTTGATAGATCACTCTCGCGCACCCCTTCCCTTTTCCTTTATTTTTCTCTATGCATAGAGTCGGTCTCACCATGTTTCTCTTTCTATCAAGTTGACTGTGTGCTGTCCAATTTCTACCCTTTTTGTCAATTCAACTCGAAAAGAGAGCAAACGAGCTCACGATTTGGAACCTTCAATTATAAAATTGTCTATATCTGCAAAGCAGCATTGCATTAAGTTCTTTGGATTTTACAAAAGCGTGATGTGACGCAAAAAGGTACTGACGGTGTAAAAAAGACACTACATACAAGCCGCTTTTAAACAAAAGAACTCCCAAACACCATGATAAATATTCAATGATCGAGACGTCAAAAATTTCAAAAATTTCAAAGTTTCATGTCCATTTTTGTCTTTTCTTAGAATCTTTAAACATTTAGAGCTCTTCGCAGAAACTCAGCAACTTTTCCAACAAAATTGAATCTTTTCCCATAATGACCCGAAAAATTCATTCACTTTCGACTTTTTCGTGTCAATTTATTTGATTACGCGGAAGCACAAAAAGCGGCGCTAATATTTGAACAAATCAAACGAGAGTTATTACATTTCACTTCTTTGACTGGGATCTCTTCTTTCATGTTCTACTCACTCGTTTTTCTTCATCTCTTTAACCCTCAATCTTCTGTCCACCAATTACAAACACCCTTTGTTTTTCTCTCCTTTTTGTCGATTCAATCAAACAAACCTGCATTTATTTTATGACGAATGAAAAGGTGGCCGAGAAATTTGAGTCATGTATTTGTGATGTAGTCCCGACATGTTGCTGAAAGTAGCTTTTTAAATTTGGCATAAAAAATATTTGTCTGTGTTAGCACTGAATAACCAGTGTTATTTCTGAATTAAATGTTCACTGCTTACTGCCGGTTAACACAAAGCCATTTTTGGCTTGGCTGCCGTTTCGGACGACAGCTATCTATGTTAGCTCTAGACCTGAAAATTTGCAACCGGAGGCATTCTGTGATGGAGAATCTGAATCCGTTATTAGTTTTTGAACAACTTTAATTTCCGAGCCAATGTGGTCATCACAAAACTCTCTAAAACTTGGGTAATTAAACCAAATTGGAGAGAAAAAGGCGAAATTGAATTTAGATTTTGTCCTTTATCCCCCGAACCGTGCAAAAATTGAAAATTTTTACGTTTTTGTAATTGCACATCCTCTGCAACACGGTATTGGGTGTGGGGTTGCACTTGTGTAATTAAACCGAATGAAATATCCAAAAATAGAGCAGCTTTCTTTAAAAACTAATAACGGATTCGAATTCCTCATCCTCGAAAGCCCCTGAAATTTTCAGCCCAATCGGCCTCAAAAAAGTGCTAAATCGACGTACGGCACACCGGCGGGTCGGATCGTCGCGAATGTGTTAATGGCCTAAATGAAATTTCATAAGACCAAGGCAAGCAGAAAGACTTCATGTAGTAAACAATCCGTTTAACTTTCAAAAAACTTTATTTATCTCATAGTTAGAGATCTTTGTTTGCCCTACATTTTTAAATAGAGAATTTTGTTAAATTCTAATGGTCACGAGCATACGCAGCATCAAATGTTTACTATTTTGACCTACTCTCGCCCCAAATAGACTTTTCAAAAGCAAAAACACTCTAAATTACGCTTTGTAATCTGATTTGGTGAGTGTTTCTGCGTCTTTCTCAACCCACACATCTCATTAGACGAAGTCTGGCGAAACGGGTCAATGAAATGTTCGAAATTCGTTCAAACCACCCACTTGGCTAAGCGGATACAAATGAATGCTTAGCCGATTTTAGTTGCATTCGTTTCTTTTTAGGCATTCCATTTTGCCAGTGGATATTGTATTTCCGCTTTTTCTATGTCAGCATGAGAAAAATCAAGATAGATAGTACCAAATTGGATTTTTAATTGTATCTCTTTTCTGGATTGAATTAACAAATCAATTGTTGTACTGCTACCTATGAATTTTTAAGGAATGCTATGAGTAAATTATTTGAGCGAATGCAATGGTGTCAACTTCCATTAACAAGTTCGCGACAAGACCCTTTCGATTATCCATTAACCTTTGGAAATTCTTGTTAATCGATGGAGCTAAAACTGCTAAATATGAGTTTTTAAAGGAATGCTAATTTTAAGGAAATGTTAATTAACCAAATCGAAAAGTTGACGTTTCAAGCTTAGACGATCCTAGTCGCGATGCAAAAAAAACTCCTACACAGATTTATGATTTGTTTTATGATATTGAAGTTCTGCACAGATCCCAAGTTCAAAAGTTCCGAAAGAGTTAAGTTCTTTAGAAGTTCATCAGCTATAATGAAAAGCTCCTAAGTCCTAATTTAAACGAATGATATAGCAACGTCGAAGACAAAACAAAAATTATAAAGTGTTATCATAAGACAACTTGAATCCAGCTTTCAATTCCTTGTTCTTTTAACGACGAGTGAATTTTCAATTCCTTCCCTCAACTTCCTCTTTTTTCAAGCTTATCCGCGCAAAGGTTGTTATATAAAATGTTTTATAATGGTGTTTGAGGAAAGCTTTGATTGAATCGGGTTCTATTTTCTCGTGTCAACTAATTATGAGGCTTTGCCTTTAAACATTTGAAAATTTCTCAACACCCAATATTAAGAACTAATTTTAGGTTGTGTGTAAAAATCATCTTGAACTCTGATTTAAATTCCGGAGTTCGTAAATTTGTCAAGTAATCAGCAGGTTCTACGCCCACTCACCGGAACGGACTTTTCGTCATTTTCGCTTTGTCGTTAAAGAAAACGCATAAACTGCCCAAAAACCCAAAAACTTCCAATTCCACCGGCTATTCAGTGTATTACAAACACAGAAGCGCTGAAGTCCAATTAACAAAGCTTTATTTCGTTTGCATCGTTTGTTGAAGTAAACATTTCATGATGCGTATGCTCGTGACCATTTGAATTTAACAAATTTAAAAGGTAAAAAATTCGTTTAAATAATTTTTTAATGAATACAGTGCATTTTAATTTATTGTGTGATGTGTGTGAACCAACCTAATGTTTATATTCGGACCGGACATTTTTGCCTCAGACTATGTCTCATAAATTGCAAAGTGGAACAATCTGCGTGGTGCGTTTCGACTATTGCCTCACCATCTTAAGCGCTAATTTAACTTTGAATTGCAATAGTTACGTAAACCTGATCGCTTGAGTTCGTTTGAGTTCGCTTTGCTTTTGTCACATTTAGCCACTTCGCATATTCCGCACTTGTTAGTTCGTACTAGTCTGTAACAAACTTAAATCTCCAACACGTCTTTTCACTTATCTGAAATTTGATCTTTCAGCGTTTTGTGACCGGGTTTGAGCTGTAATTGAACTCCACCGTGGGTGGATCAAAGCCAAAAGATTTTAGTATAACATAGAACTTTTTTAGTTCGAGGCCTTTAACCTTTTCCAAGGCATCTCAAGGCACGCAAAATTTGTCAGAGAAAGACTCAAATTTCACTATTTCCTTCCCCTCAATTTCCTCTTTTTTCAAGCTTATCCGCGCAAAGGTTGTTATATAAAATGTTTTATAATGGTGTTTGAGGAAAGCTTTGATTGAATCGGGTTCTATTTTCTCGTGTCAACTGATTGCCTTTGCCTTTAAACATTTGGAAATTTCTCAACACCCATTATTAAGAACTAATTTTAGGTTGTGAGTAAAAATCATCTTGAACTCTGATTTAAATTCCCGAGTTCGTAAATTTGTCAAGTAATCAGCAGGTTCTACGCCCACTCACCGGAACGGACGTTTCGTCATTTCCGCTCTGTCGTTAAAGAAAACGCATAATTACCCCCAAAAACTCGTAATTATTAGCTGTTTGAACTTTGTTGATGTGAAGCATTTCGGACTGGCTTTTATTTCATCTAACTACTTTTAAGGCTCTTTGCTCTAATCTATTAAAAGTTTGGTATATAATGCCGGTTTGTGCCGTGCTTTTTTTTAGTTGTTCAGAGCAAAAAAAACCAAAAACCAAAAACAATTATATGCTACAGCTACAATTTCCAAGTAAACACACGCTTTTGCCAGTCATAAATCAAGATTCTTTTATTGCGCGAATGTATGCTATAATTATGTTTTTGCTTTAATTTGCGGGGGTAAAAGTATTTTTGGGAAAACGTAAGATAGTGGAGAGGCTTCGTTTAAATAGGTTGCAACTCACGATAATTCGAAATAAATTTAAAACAAGTTGTTCTGAATTTGAAAATTCTTTCTTTTCAGTATTTTTCATTGGTAAAATAAACCTCGGAGATACGTTTCTGGAGATACACTACTGGACAATGAAATATCATATTCGAAAAAAGAGATCGTCACTTTCGCGCGTCTGTAACTCCATTGGCTTTACCGTATTTCTAAATATTCATATTACCATTGTGTAGCCCTTGAAAAGAGCTTTCATAAAATGTAGAACACTAATAGTTTAAGCTCAAAGACAAGGGAGTTACAGATGCGCGCAAGTGACGATCGTTTTTTCAAATATGATATTTCATTGTCCAGTACTGTAGATGCAACAAGCGTGCTATATATTTTTTCGCAATGTTTTTGAATGTAAACTTTTTGGCTTCAAGCTTTCTAATACCTATATCAAGGATTATTTGTAATTATTTTCAGTCTTTTTTAATTTTATTCTCTCTTACACCACGTGTTTCGGCTCTTCAATTTCTTTATTTATGCTTTGTTTTCCTCATGGATTCCCCATTGACCAATCAAATTTTTTCCCAGCAAATGACCCCAATATTAAAGACCGATTGGAAGATTTCCTTGACGTTTTTTGTGATTTTAAAGGCCGATTCTTTCTCAAAAGGAGTATTCGGTGAGATACTCGCACGCCTCCAGAAAATTCGAGAAGATTAAAAGAAATGAGAGATTTTTTGTTTTCTTTCAATTTTCGACCACGGATCGAATTGCCACTTTGCATGACGATAAAAGGTTCGAAATGACACATTGAAATCACAAAATTTTTGCCTTGTTGGTTGCATTTTTCCGATATTTTTCTATCTGCCATTTTTACGGGGCCAAGTTTGGTGGGATTTTAATTGTTTTACCCACTCGTGTTCTAACAATGAGTTTTTCAAAACAAAAATGTTTAGATTTAAATTTTGATAATAGCTACTGCTATTATCAAAAGCATCCTTTGATACTAGTTTTAAACCGAATTTTATTGTGCACCAATCATCATTTCACAGATTAAAAAAATTTCACAAAAATGATATCAATTTCTTGAGAATTCTTTTTGTCACCAAAAGGTTATAAATTTTTTTTAATTTTCCTCTGTTTCTTGAGCTCATATTGTATTTGATCGCCGTCAACTCAATTAAGAAAAAGTTTTCTATCTCAAAAATACCAAGAATCTCATGCAATTATAGGCATGTTGAGTTTTTTATCCCAAAACATTGATATCACTTTTTGAGAGCCATTGATATCACTTTTTGAGAGGCTTGATTTCTCGTGGATAGCTTTTTAGCTTTTTTTATACGTCATTTTACTTCGTTAGTGATGATTCAGACAAAAATTGCTTTCTTTTGACTTTTTTAGCAGTAAGTCTTTACGCATTCGGCCGAGCAATAACTTTTTCGCTAACTCAAATTAGAACTCATGAGAAAACATTTTCTTGCAACTAATCAAAAATTTCTTAGTCAAAAAGGCACATACTTAGTTGGTTGAAGTCATATTTGATTCGGTGTGCTGCGAAGACGTCCGTGGGATAGTTGTGCAGTAATATGTCAGAACAATTTTGTTTTTGTCTATTTGATCTAGTTTTTCTTTGACTTAATTGATTCCATAAGGTCAATTGTAAGTTCCTTTTTATAGCATCACTTATTCGACATTATGCGACAAACGATTGGGTCCTCTTCATCTTTTCTTTTACAAATTCTAATTGCTTTGGTTCTACTCGCCAATCTCGCTTCTGCCTTCTATGTACCATATGCTGAGGTGAATTTTGATATTTGGGTCTATTAAGCAAGATTTCATCCTTAAATCAGTCTTTAAAAAAAAGCTTTGTTTCAGGACTATTTCATGATGAACAATCCGATAATGGAGAAACGAACCCTTGGGCCATATGGTGGGCCTCGGTGAGTTGTGATGGAAATATTTTAAGATAAATGAATCGTCGTTAGCTTTGTAGTGTTTAGTGATGTAATGGTTGTCGTAAATTGCCCTCGATCATCTGATCGGTAAATCACATAGAGTTGGCTTTTTGTTTATTAATACCTCAGCCTGAGCTCAGCCATTAACTCAATAGCACTATCGTAGTGAAACTTATCAATAAATTCAAAATACTAATTAACAATAAGCAACACCGTCTAAACCTACAGAGCAAAACTCAGCATAAAGTAGACTGCTTTGATGATAAAATATAATCTTATAGTTGAAACCCGTTTTCAGACACGAGAAACGGGAATTCAGTGCTGATGATTTGTCTCTTCGATTCGGAAAACGATCCGGACGGCTGGCTTTCAACCCAGAAGATTTGCATTTGAGATTTGGAAAGTAACCGAAATAGTCATCTAATAATAACATTTCTAAATCATCTCACAGTTTCATTTCTAAGGGGTTCTCAAAGTTCTCTCTCGATCTCAAACTTTGTGTCTTTTAGTTGGTTCGTTCACAAAATTTTATTTCACGTATTTGCTTACACAACTTAAGTGAACACTGATAAATTGTTTTTGTTTCCAAATTGAAAATTTACACAACGGAAATACATATTAATTACGGAAAGGAGATCTGCTGCAGAATGAGACTCAAAAAAAGAGGACGAACAAAACACACAAATAGAAACATATCGTCATTTGGTATTATTAAATTTAAACACATCATCTCAATCTTCATCACATTTTCTTTTGTTTCCAGCTGCCTTCTTGATTTCACGATAACAAAGGACATATCGCTGAGCGACGGGTAGTGGAGGAGAGTAGCCACCAGCATACTGAATTTAATTTAATGACGAACTATATTTCTAATTTTGTGCGGAAGTTTCATAGTTTCAAGAGATAATTTGTGACAAGTAGCTCACCGACGAATCTTCAAAAGCAACGGTGTAGTCTTCAGTCGCCACTTTTGGAGAAGTCACAACGGCACCTAGAAACTTTTTCTGTAAAAGCTAATTGAAAGAAGCTACGGTGTTTTAAAACAGTGGAGGATAGGTATCTGGCATTATGGGGATCTGGGATAACAATGTTCTTTCATTGTTCTTCTTTTATTATGACTATGGCCTACCGGCAACTCTGGTAACTAACTATTGCCACTTCAATGTAATGTAATCCAAATAATAAAAAGAATTTCGGTCCATTTTTTTGGAATCTCTACTCTATAAAAAAATCTCTGTCTGTGCGTCCGTCACACTTTGGTCTGGAGCTCAGCAATCCGTGTACCGATTTCAAAATTGAAAAGTTTATTCGATGGATTCGAATGAACGAATATATGTTTTAAGATTTGTTTCTCAACTCAACTTTTTTAGCAAAATTTTTCAATAAAATAAATAAATCCTAAAACGGCAAGCATTTAGGTGGTTTCTCTACTTGTAAAAGTAAAAAAACCTTTATAAAAACAAGTGGTTTGTGGATACAAAGCAAGAACGATAGCGTCGGCTGGGAAAAGGGCATGACCATCTCTTAGTGGATCGGCCCGATGAGATGGAAGACCGATTAATCTTCTGCGCACTACATGTTGAACCTGGCAATTTTTTATTATAATCGACAGTCAAGTTTTTCAAAATAAAGCTGACCCACTTTGTGGCTTTCATCCTCTATGTCTTTGACACCAAATTTCCCTCCCGGAACTGAGTTTTCAACCTGAAACTATTTCTTGGAAATTCTAGCAAACTAGGGTACCTCTGCAAGTATCCAATTGTCTTCAATATACGCAGCTACATAATCTCCTTTCTTGAAATTGTGTGAGTCTGCGTATGGAATTCCTCCTACGCCACTTGAAGGGTATGAAGAATGAATATCGATGTACAGTGGAAGAGCTGATGCCTGAAAAATAAGGAGATATTTTAATGAAACTTAACATTTTAATTTGAGGATCCTCATTTTTATTTTAAGTTATTAGAGACACTTTCACATCTACAACGAACTTGATTATTGAGCACACTCATTAGGGTGTGCCTTCGAACTAATCCCTCCATTCGCTGTGTGTTCTCTTTTTGTCGGATCTTTTCAATGTCCCCCAATAACTTCCGAAACGTTTCCAACTCGACTTCACATGCTTTCTGAGCATCGGATAACATGGGAAGAATCTGAAAAGTTGAATTTACCTAGGTAACTCTGAATCTGAATAACGCCTTGAAGAATAGTAAAACTGTGACCAAAATATTTTACTTGTGATTTATTCTTTCGGTTATAGACACCATCTTTTTGTTTCTGCTGTAGAGCCATCAGCGTATCATTTGTTTTTTCTTTCTTTGTCAAATAATTGCGAAACTAAAACATCACGTTATTATTAAGCAGAAATCTGCCTCCAAAACAAAATAAGATAACAAATTTCACACAAACTTTTTTTATCAAATCGCGAGTAACCGCTTGCTTTTGTTCATCCAAAAGCTCTTCCTCTGTTTTCTTTGACGTTGTTCGACTCATCTGAGAATTAAAAATTTGCAAAGTTGAATTGCATAAACACAAGAGCAAAATAGTTTAATTCCCATTTAGCACTTTCATTTTTGCTAAAATCAACGCTCGAGCTATTGCTGGGCAATTATTGTGTTCTTCTGTCATTTGAATGAACTCGTCGTTCTGGGGATTCCCATTGCAATACATGGCTAAAGGTAATTAATCCCCAATATTGTTTTCATTAAGTTTATTGAAAGCAAAAAAGTTAACTTTTAATTGGTTATATTTGCAAATAGCTTCTTATCATTTTAGAATGAAAAAACGCGGCCAGGAAATTCAAAACGATGAAGAAAACACGAAAGATAAACGACGCAAGATTAGTAGTTAGTTTTTTTAAAACTTGACCAGAAATTTGAACTCTTAATAGAAAACTCAGACCATATCTCTACATATAAACCTGGCTCTTCAATATTTGATTTGGTGAAGTCTGGTGATGTGGAAATGATAACGAGTGCACTTCGGATAGACCCTAATAGGTAACGAGAAGCTTTGATAGTTTGAGCATATAGTCAAACAAACTTTGTTTAAAGTTACCAACCACAATCCACAATTAATTGCAAATAAAACTTTTCAGGATTCGGTCACACGATGATATGGGAAAAACAGCGCTTCATTTTGCTGCTTCTATTGGAAACGTTGCGATCTGTCAAGCACTTATTGACAGTGAGTGCTTTTTTTACGAATCGTTCTACAATCAGCATCATAATATCCATTTTCAAGTTTACAAGTAGTTTGGTGTGTTTGAAATTACCAGTTTATTCTGGACAACGCTCTAAACATTCAATTATGTTTAACTCTTCAGCTTGATAAAGAAGTTTTTTAGACGAAGCCGATGTTGATGCTCGCACCCATGATATGCTCACTCCACTTCACATGATTTGTTCGGCACAACCAGTTGTTCCACTCGATAATGCAAAAGCAATAGTTCGCATGCTACTTGATAAGGTTGGTGAAAGCACAATGCGATCAGTGAAAGCACATTTCAGGGAGCCAATTTTTCACTTTCTACACCGAACGATGAATCGACCATAAACGGTAAGAATCACAAAATTTATAAAAAATGCAGAAGCATTAGAACTTTTTCAACTTTTTTTCAGTTGCATTGAACGCCGAAAATGAAGATCTAGCCGTGTTTTTATTAGGATTCGTAAGCGAAGACGTCATTTTCCATCGAGATAATCGCGGGGAAACTTGTGCACATTTGGCTGCCCAATTAGGGAATACGGTAAACTTAATTTTGGAGTTGGACAAAGGAATTTTAACTAAAGTTTTTAGTTGTTTATCAAAGAAGTTTCTCGACGAGAACCAAGATTATTTCTTCTTGAAAGTGATCGAGGAACAGCATTACATGTTGCTATTACCTTAGTGAATATCCAAATAGCCATAATAATCATGGATACAATACGAGGTTAACTTTTTAGAAGTGATAAAATTGATGAAACACAGCTACTGAATTTTAGCTCGTTATGGAGTTCTCGAACTTCGAACTCAAATCAATAAACGAAGGGAATACGATGATTTGTCGCCAACGGCTCTCGCATTCATCAAAGAATCATTGGTGTTAGCTGAGAAATGCATCGAATATGGTTAAAAGAGTATTGTTCCGTGGGATAATAAAATTAACAGGTGGCATCATCGATAAGCCTTTCAATTCGGCCATTTGGAATCGACCATCTTACTGCTACGAGGTTTTAATTTAATTTTAAGCTCCGCACAAATCATGCCTGGGTAGATCTGTTTTGAGAAGAAAAATGTGGAGCTGTTCAAATTGGTCTTGAACTGTTTTGGAGACGAACCCTTGCCTGGAAAATACGACCCAGTAGGTTCTCTAAAATAGTGGGCTGTCCGGAGAGTCTTTTCGTTTCTTTTCATATTTCCGTTGAAAAATAACAAATTCACCAATTAACCTATGGTTTGCTCTAAATAAAAATTGCTCTTTAATGAAACAAACCGTAGTTCAATTGGTGCATTTGTTGGTTTGAAACGGAATTAGGAAAAGAAACGGAAAGACTTTCTGGACAGCCACATTTTGACTATTCAGGATTCGAACGCTTGGATTCTCTGTGTTGAATATGGAGCTGATAACTGTCTGATTGAATTGGATAAAAGACAGAAACGTCCCAAAAATGGTTTCGAATCCGTGGTTAGTTTATATTTGGAATTGCAAGTTACATTATTAGGACTGGAATCATCATCGATATACACTTCCCTGGTGTTGGGCTCAAAGAAGGTTTTTCTCCGATTTGCAGTTTGTTTATATCAGATCTGCGGGCCAAATCAACTTTAGGCTACAAGGTGTGTCATTGCTGCAAAAGTTTATGCGAGAAAATATTCCACGCACTCCTGTTGCTTTATCTCCAATTCAATATCAAAATTTTCCTTTTATGCTCGATGCCATTCTGAGAGGAGAGGTTTGATCTACTCTGCATATTATAAAAAAAGCTAGTATTCTATTACTTATCTCAAGCCTTCTTCATAAAACTTTTTAGAGCTTGGAAACTATCCAGAAACAGCTTCGGGAAGAATTTTTATTCTCAGGTCCATTTCTCGATTGGGACGTGGTTCGCTGGTTAACCGTGATTGGTTTAATAGAACGTTTAGGTAAAACAGTCATTTGCAAGACACTTAGAAAAGTGGCCTTTTGACGAACAAACGCAATTTGAAAGATATAAAATTTCACTTTTCGATGTAAGTTTTGCATACGTACTTTTTTTGTTTGCAAACATTCCTCGTGTAGCACATGGCTCAATCGGAAGCAGACAGTTTTGGGGCAGCACGCGAGATGATGAAATTGGGCTTGCAGTTGGAGATCAGAAAAGTATGTTACAACTTCTTATGTTCAATTTCATAGCATTTTAGTGCCCATGTAAGGATTGTGAGTGTTTATCACCGCAATACGCCTGCCTCGATCCGAATCGTCCCGAGATTTCATTGGCGCTAAATGCGGCTGACTACTTTTTGCGGATTCCAATGTGCCATCGAATGCGTTATCTTTTTAAGGTAAGGAAAACTAGCGCTACTTCTGATACTTTTGTAGGTAGAACATATTTAACCACTTATTATTAGACGAAACATGACCACTACTTTGCTTATCTACTCCTGAGCCTAAGCCTATAAGCTTATCTACTCCAGAAAACAAAAAGACTGGTCATTCCTGGCGTCACGTATCACTATTTAGCAACAAAAAGATCTGAACGAAATCTCATCAGTGGCGACTCTTGAAGCTCATGCACGATATGCTCTACGAAAAACCAAAAAAGTACGCGAATTGGTTGAAGACAAATGGGTTGTCTCTCTACCTATTCCATCCAAACTCCAAAAATTTCTTGCACATTCGTTTGATGCGCAAATATTTAAAAGTTCTCTTTGAAGTCCCTATATTGGATTGAGGAGTATGAAATGGCCCCGACTTTCAAGAAATTTTTCTGGAACACATAAAAGCTCCATATGATCCATTGTTTGTATAATCAAAAAGGTCTATCATTGCTCTACAAAATGGCTTTTGAGAGTTTTCGAAAAGCTTTTGTTTTGTGGATTTTATGGGCTCCTAAACGCAACCAGTCAAAATGGCAAGGAGTCCGATTCATTGTTTGACTCGTTTCTCATAAATTTAACTTGATGTCAAAACAAAAAGTTAGAGCACATTTGGTTACAGAAGTAGCCAAATTTTTGTAGTGATCTCATCAGTCATTTTCTCTAAATGACCTTTATAGATTTTCTGAAAAATTATCTTTTATTGAATTGCGGCGTCTTTTGAGTTCTATTTCAAATATGATTTTGTAGATAAATAAGTGGCATTTCTCATGATACTACTCGAGTGTCATTTGATAAAGGCTACGCGATGTTATAGAAGTTTTTTGAAAGTCGGCGCCATTTCATATCCCCAACCCAATAGTTTTGCTGCACTTTTTTGTGATTTTTCACTATAGTTTTTCACTTTAGTTACGGGTCATTGCTTTTTGATCGCGCGGGCAAAGTTTTACAACAATTTATTTATGCAACACAATAATAGCAGATTACATACAAGTTGACTAATTATTTCAGCCTATTTATCTTGGTACAAAAACTGTTCTCCGCTGATTGTGGGGCCTCGTTTCTTCAGAATCCCTTGAAGGGCTAAATTTAAAAGATAAAATGGCAAGTTCTTGATATTTTGCCCACTATTTGTTTCTTTCTTTGAATTTTGTGTGCACTCATCGATTAGGTGCTTTTGCCAACCAAAATCATTGTTTGGAGTCACATTTTTATGACAGAGAATACATCGGCCTGCTTGGGAGTTCTTGGGAAACACTGTAAATATACTTGAGAGTGATTGACACTTTAGAATACTTACAATTACAAGTCCGTCTTGCTATATGCGTAGGAAAAATTGTTTTTTCAACTGGTTCTTTGCACCACTGACATTGTCGATACGAGTCTTTTCCAACACATTCCAATAAGTAGTGCTCTTTGAGAGAACTAATTTCCAAAACCTATTAAAATTGTAACTCATTACAAGTTGAACCTCATATTTTTTATGCTTCAGCTCTACCTCATTACATTTATCACATTTTCTCAGCATTGGGCAATCATTGAGATAATGTGCATCAAATTTTTCTCCACTGTTCCATTCATCATTGTATTGTCCACAAAACATGCACACTCTTGATAAAACAATTTGAAAAAATTGTTTTCCATTTGACTTACTTATCCAAATCAATCTCTTCACTATCGTCTTTTATTCCTGAAGAAAGACGAACTCTTGATCCTTTTCTATTTCGATTTTATGTTTTAGAACAAAAAAAATCAAGCTTTAATACAAAAACAAAAAACATATTGCACAAAGAAATACAATAAGCATAAAGAATATCAATTGTAAGCAAAAAAATAAGTGGAGACGACTATCAAAATCTCCGACTTTTGCCAGCAAGCCTTTGTTGTTCATCGGCAAACCTTGTTTGTTTTCTTACACCAGGTGATCGAGATCGAGCTCTTCCTTTACTTGGTGGTCTCAGGTTGCTTTTGAGTGGTTTCTTTTCGGAAGCTCTCCTTCCTCTTTCTGCACTCCTGCCACGATTTCCATCCGCCGATGTACTGCCTCTATGTGTTGATGAAGACGTTTTACTGAACCTTACTTTTAAATTTAAAGAATTAGTCAGCTCTTATGTACGTAGAAGAGATGCTAGTGGATAGAACAACAAGCATCAAACCCTAAATTTCTACAAACTTAATATACCTACGTTTGTTCAACTTATTGTTTTTTTACCGACACAGCTTACCGTTGATCCCTTGACTCGTCTCTTGCACCTGTTGAACTTGAAGTCCTCGTATTCCTTGTATCGCGTCCATCTCTTGTATTCCTAGTATTTCTCGTGTTACTTCTTCTACTGTTATCTCGTTCCTCTCCATCAATTTCTTTAATCTCTCCATGTAGTTGGCGGTAAACAGGATTCCGAGTTGATGGGGTGTCATCCGGAAGTAAGCGACTAAACTTTCAAATATTGTTTGTGGAGCTATAAATTACCGTAGTGTTTTTCGATCTCCATGCTCATATGTCATCAAGAAAAGTTCTTTGCCGATATTTTTGACCTAAAACTTTGTTGGCGGTCAGACTTTTTGATGATCTTACTTCTGAATCCGAGTGCTTCATAGCGCTGATTGAAAATCGAGCAATTGGCTTTTCATTGAAGCCACTAAAAGTCTTTTAATAAAACACTATTTTAGCATTATAATAATATAAAGTAGTTAAAGCATACGCCTCATCGTTGGGCACTTCATATTGAGCAGCTTGCTGCAGAACGATGCGAGCCCTCGGACGATCACTTTTTTGTGTTCCTGACTCGAATGGGGCTAGGAATTTTGCCATGAAGGCTTTATTCATCTAAATCAATTTAAAAAAATAAATGAATTCAACTATTTTTAACCTTGGGATCGGTAGAAAGAACATCAGTCAGGACATCTTCTGTCTCGGAGACAAATCGTTGATCCTGAAAAAATAAAGGATAAGCTTTACTTTGAAGATTTTCGGCTCAACAATTTACAGCTTGAAAGTCCTTGCCTTTGCCAAGTTCCCGAGAGCGGAGATGAGTGGTTCTGCACAAGCGGTAGCCATTTTTGGTGGAGCCGATTTTTCAAGTTGGCTTTCTGGGATAAAATCATGTCCAATATACCGAAACACATCCAAAGCAGAAGAATAAACCTAAAATACCTAATCTTTTAAAAAGGCTTTTTAAATTAGGTAACTGTTTGAGACAAAATTAAGTACGAACCGAATAAAGTGCGTCTCGAAGGCATCGTGTCAGTAATGGGAGGGCTGCATCGAGAGCTTCTGATGATTTGCTACCCTAAAAGTGATAAATGCAACAATTCGTATATGTCTACTTATATACTTTTTGTTGCCCAGATTGCAACTCGAACATATTTTCATTTTCCCTATTTTATCTTCTGAACATATTTTTCTACTTGCCACCTTTCCGCTATAATCCTCCAAACGTTTCTGCAACTCAGTAAGACCATCCCTTCTTTTATTGTAATCCTTCGAATAAATTTTTTGCACCTGTAAAAATCATTAAAAAATCAACATGGCACGAATTACGGTGGAGAGGCCGAATTTTTGTATTGATCTTTGTGCAGTAGATCTGTCAGATGGATGGACTGCTTCGAGAAATCCATGCTCGTTATGACCTAAAGTCTCCTCATTGTCGTAAAGACTACCGGTTTTGACACTTTAAGAAATTTCTACCAAGTGCAAACTAATATTCTAAACCCAAAAAAACTTTTTAGGGCAAAACTAACCACTTTTGTCCTCGCGATGATCATTTGGCCTCCTATGCATTTCCGGATCTGATGATCGGCGGCTGAAATTGAACTCAAGCGTCAATCTGCTTTTTTGCTCATAAGTTTAAGAACATAACATAAAGTTTTCTTTATACATTTCCCACTTTCGTAGTGCAGCTGGGACAACCATATTTTCCTTTTCATAAAACCGATTCGATCCAGTTCTTGTTCGCGGCTTTTCCAAACTTCCTGCAGGAATGTAAGACTCTCTAAAGACAAAAGTTCAATTGACTCAAGTCCAATGACCTAGTAGCTGGACGCTTGGTCTCATAGTAATCATGGTCCGGAGATTGAGCCGTTCTAAAATAAATCTTCTTTGAGCTTTATAGCCTCTTACACATTTACAGAGCATTTTAATAGTATTATGTTATTTTTTATTGAATTGAACTTTACGTCGGCAGCCTCCTGAAATCAACAGGGGAATCAAGGCTCGGAGGTCTCCGATGACTCGATGAGTGAGAAGGAGGGGATCTAAAACTTTGGAGTATACATTGTGCCAACGTAGATTAGGGTAACACCTCGTTCCTCTTTGCTGGGTTCTTACTGGACTCTTTATAGGAGTGGGACTTCGGATCGGAGCAGTTGGTGGTTTTGGCGACCTACTTCCAACAGGCGATCTAATCGGTAAATCTCCTGAGAAGATGATTTTTCAAAGTAACAAATCACAATTAACCTTTTGGTTTTGGGGTAGGCTCTCGTGGAGAAAAACTTAATTTTTCTCGATCTTCTCTAGGAGTAGGAGGAAACGGATCACTAGCAGCAGTTGAAAGAAATGGAAGTGAATGTGAAAGAGGAGTCGGCTGACTGACGCGAAGAATTGGGGGATTTTGAACAGAGTTTCTTGGGGAAAGTTCTAAAGATCGAGAAGGACTAATAAACTGGACTTTATAAAAATTTCACTAACTGACCAAAGATTTAGTTTACTAAAGATGTTTTTGCTATTTACCGATTGGTTTAAAAAGTTTTGGTGGAGGAATTGCCGTCCCAGAGTGATCATATAAAGGAGACGGTTTTCCGGGTGTCTCTGGCAATGATGAGGGACCTGGATCATTCTGAAAGCGTTTTTATAATAAAAAAATGTGTATGTACACGTGTTAACTTATAAGTCGCGACCAGCCTACAAAATAAGATCGTTCACAAACCGGCACATATTCCAGAAATCGCGGGTCTATTGATGCTAAAACATTTCCTCGGAGCGTTTTCATTTCATCTTTCAGATCTTGAGCTCTTTGAAAATCTTCATCCTGAAGAAAGTGAGATTACTTTCATTTCATTTTTTGTTCTTACTTGAATAGCAGCATTTTTATCCTTTTCAAGCTCTTCCATTTCTTTTGTCGCTTTTTTTAGTAATCTTTGAGAAAGCTGAGCTTCTTTTGCTTTTTTGAAATTCTCTTCCTAAAGCAGTTTTTTATCAGTACTTTTTGTTCATATAAACCTGTACACATCGTTTCTTATTTTTTTCAAGAATTCTTCCCAACTCAAGTAACTCTTCAGTATATTTATTGTCAACAATTTCACTTGATGAGTGCAAACCACCCTGAAAGTGAATCGTGCTTGGTTTGTTGTATTGCAACCTGAGCTCTCAATGTTACAACAAGCTTTTTTACCTCGGCATCCCCAATTTTCTGTCTTTCATCAATATATTTAAACGAGAAGTTCTCAGGTTCATCGGGCACATATAATCCAAAAATTTTCAATTGGATGAGGCCAACCTAAGACATTCAGTTAATAAAATAAAATGCTTAGGTATTTCTTGCAAAACTGCAAAACTTCCAATGCAAACTCACTTGATTATATGGATTAGAGACTCGATTCACATAGCTTTCATCGATTTTTAAACGAATTCGCGACAATTTTTCATCCATATAAACCGTTTTTAGTTCGTGTTTTGTCGCTGATGATTTCTTTTCTTTAAAGGATACCTCTCTAAAGCTTATTTTCGATTTTTTTTACTCACGCTTTTATAAAATTTAGTAGATTAACAAACCCTAATTTGGTGAAATGTTTCCTATCATCGCTTTGCAGAATCGAGGTTCGATTTGTTTCGATCACTACTTTGCGAGCTAAGATCTTGTCCTCTTTAAGTTAAAGGTTTCAACTTACGAATATAAGAATTGTGAACCAATATCTGAAGTTTCTCAACGTTAGCCCTTCGCCTTGTTTCAATCAAGAGGGTCTGCGGGAATTCACAGTCTCTAAAAAGTACAGAAATAAGCAGGACTGACATTTATAATAGTCAAATTCAATTCTGTGGAAAATGGTTTTTACTTTTACTGGAACTGAAATTCTTTAGTACGAAAATTGGTACATGTTTATCTTACGCTGCCCATGCAAACACCACACAGAAGTTTAAGCAAAATATGCTCTCACATAATGGTGAAGCTACAATTTTGGCATCAGCTAAAAAGAAAGTTTTATAAAAAGCAAATTTTTACTTTAGTTCAAGCCAGTTCAAAGGAAGCTCAGCTCAGACTGTAAATAGGGCGGGTTATAATTTTTTTTCTTAACCCTTAACCTAACATTTCTAGACAAGCTATGTCATTCGATTAACAACACCAGAAATCCTATGACCGCTTACTGTACCATACTCCTATAACTCGTTGGTACCTTATCTTGTCAGTAACTACAATATATGTAAATTGAGCGACCCAAGATAAACAAGTAAGCTGTAACGTACTTGTTTAGCATACGTCGCCCATTTCTTATGCAAATAAACGGCGTAAGTTCAAAAAACATCTTGAAATTTTACAAACAATGACTACAAGCATTAAGCTACATGAGAACGTACCTTTCAGAAATCCATTCTTTGGTGACGAGAAGCTGCGGGGGGATTTCATCGAAATCATTCTGTTTGTTTACTTCAATTACTCGAAAGTCCAATTCAGACATTTCAGGAATAAACAAAGATTGAGCTTCGAGATTTTCAGGGATCTCCAGAATCGGTTTGTTTTCGGGTTGTCATCGACGGCCATCCTAGCAACCTCGAATGGAAGAGAACGTTTTAAGGACTCTCCTTTTCCGTTTCCATTTGTGTGCCATTTTTAGAAAAGAAGACACATTGATTATTGGTGTTGAACTGAGAGGTCGCACTTTTTCTATTGTTGATGCAAAAACGGAATCAAAAATTATTGCTCTAAGATGCATGATTATGATTCTTAACGGTGGATTGGGGCGTAACTGAAGAGCGAGTATCTAGCACAAAAATAGTTGACATTATTTTAATAAGTTTGATTATTTTGTATACAAATGTGATTATCATTAAACTTTGCCTAAAATGTTTTTAAAGTTTTTATTATTTGTCATTTGTATCCAAAGTTAAACAGTAATTTAAACATAACCCGAACCGACAGTTCAAGTGAGTGTTAAGAATGCTTAAAGAAGAAAAGAACGGAAAAATGCATGTTCAGCGGAAAAAAATGTCTTGTAAGTTATGGGTACTATCATTATTATTATTTGTGGCTTTCTGCTTGATCATGCTCTTCTAATTCTTCTTCATAAACTTCCTCGGGCACGAAGTATTCTAAATAAATTTTTCTTTCATAAAGGAGCGTTTCGTTTGGAAAATGTTTGTTTTTTGAATTTTACTCACCAAGTATCCTGAATCCATCATTTCCACTCAATTCAAGTGCTCTTCTCAGATAACCGGGTGGTTCTACTCTCAACGTGTTGTTCTCTTGCATCTCATGGTACGATTTCACTTCATACAAACGACGGAACATTGCGCCATCTTCACTCTGTAACATTTCAACGTTAGAAAAGGAGTTTATTATTTCAAAATGCTTACCGGGATTGGAGCTTCATCATCATCAAAGTACTCAGCCTCATCCAACTCGATGATAACCGGTGTGTCTTGTGTGTCTTTGTGCTGACCGCTGCTTGTTGGATGAAGCTAAAAGTAGAAGAATTTAGCTAATTGTAAGTCACTACTCTTTGTGTGAAAACGGTACAAAACACTCTTTCTTGAGAAGTATTCAATAAACCAACCTCAACATATTCTCCCTCTGCAAATTGTTCTACATATCCTGTCGGTTCTGTTGTACCTTCGCGACTTCCCAAAATGGCCGTTTGGGTTTGTTGATCCACAACCTAAATCGTTGGCTTGAGATTAGAAATAAATTTCTAAAACCTTTCCATCATTGAGCAGGAGAAAAACTTGTTCTCCATTGTCACCAGGAATGATTCGGACCTCGTCAAAGTAAACATTTGATACTTCTCTTAGCCTTTGAATCTCGACATCTGTCAAAATAGTTTCTTCATTTTGCTCGATGTTTGCGGCTTTCTCTTCACGTCGAGATCCTCGACGACGCTAAATAAACTTTTATTTATAGGTGAAACACATTAGTAAGGCTTTTTAAGTATTCAAGCAGATAACTCACCTCTTCTGTATTCAGTGAAACATGGTTCAACGAGTATCCAATTTGCGTACCTTGCTGAGACTCTGGCATCATCTCCGGATGTTTCTTTTGTAAGTGCCGGATTGCCCTAGAATTGCGTTAAAATGAGAGAACTAAGACAACATTTTATTTTACCTGCACATGTTGTATGGTCTGTGTAACGCGAATGGGATTTGACACACAAGACATTCAATAAGGGATGCGTGCACAAATTCCATACATTTATCTGAGATATATTCGAGTCGAATCTGAAAAGTTTTACTATAAAAATATCAGTGTTTTTTGATAAATTTAATAGTTGAATCGAAATTGTACTCACCTTGCACAATTCGTATCTCAGTTTGTCGTGAAGCTCGGGATGACACTTTTTGTAGTGAGATATGCACCTGAATAGTAATTTCAATTAATCAAATTCACTGAAAATCAAGATCTTCTGTAAAAAAATATCTTTTGTGATTTAACTTTATAGCAAAAACAAACTACCTACTGTGCTATTTCAATTTCATTGATCTATACTCACCCTGCCGACATCACGGCAGCCATAATGATAAAATCGCATTTCTTGCATCTCCACTGCGTTTCCGTCAAAGCTTCAACGTATTCGGAGTTTGTCGGCGCTGTTTGTCTATATTTTATCTTATCTTATATTTTATTTTATTATAAAGTCTTTTGTAAAAAATTTCAACCTGTAAGCAGGCATAACAAATGTTCGTTTTGGCTTATTTCTTCTCCCATATTGCATCCGGGAATTCATTACAGGTTTGTTTTCCAATCTATCTTCATCATCTGAACAACGATCTTTAAAAAAATTTTTAATTGTCGTTTACTGCTACTGAATTCAATTAATTTTAAAAACAAATACTGACCATCGTCATCGTCATCATCATATTCGCCAACTTGTGCCGTTAAACGTTTATTGATTGCCTGCAAACTCGCAAAAAGTTATTTTTCTCTTAAATACCTAGGTATTCTTGTTTAATTTTTGTAACTTTCAATCAAATACGAATAAATGTTGATAAGCTAACCTTTTGCAAATTTTTTTCGGACGTTGTTTTGATACTGAACTTCGGGCATTCATAGTGCTTTTCATCAGGCAAAATGATATCAAAATCTTCCAAGTACAATTCACGAAGACGGGCGTTTATGACAAGCTCCTAAGTAGTTTCTCTTTTAAGGCGTTCTTTTTATGCATTTTTTTTTATTAGTCTGTCAAGAAAGTCTTTTCTTTTCGTATTTCCGTTGAAAAATAACAAATTCACCAATTAACCTATGGTTTACTCTAAATAAAAGTTGTTTATTGTCTCAATTTCCCATCTTTCTAAGTCAATTTGGGTTCACTTTCAACCAAATTCGAGAGTGAAAACGTGTTTGTCTTGAAAATCTATAAAAACCTCTACGAAGAAATTGGCTGAATCAATTTCTCTCAAACTTTGGCGATATACCTAACTTTTTGTGATCTATCTTTTATCTACTGACACCAAAATCCGTTTCTTTGGATCAAAGTGTCTAAATAGCATCATCGAGCCGTCGCCCTTTTTGACTACCCGACTTGACGCTCCCTAAAAAGATCTAGAAATAAGATATTTTAAACCCGTTTTAATGTTATTTTGCAGAAAAATAGTTGACCTTTTTAATGAAACAAACTGTAGTTCGATTGGTGCATTTGTTGGTTTTAAACGGAAGTACAAAAGGGAACGAAAAGACTTTCTGGAGAGCCTAATAAATTTCAAACAAGATACCTCAATGCATAAGCGACACGAAGGGACTTCAATCTCATCCGCATGAACTTCATGAAAGTGCATTGCAAGCGTGTCTTTTGTCATCAACATTCCACACCAAATACACTAAAATAATAATGAAATGGGATAATGTTTGTGGACTTTTTTAGGATTTAAGCTTTGTTTTGAATAAGTGGATTTTGATGACCAAACCTGGAGATTGTCGACAGTTGAATCAAGAGACTTGTCGGCTAGGCAAAAATCCTAGGTTTACTATATTTTTCGACTCTTCTTTAACAAACTTGTATGCTGAGTGGTTTGCCTAGTCCTGGCTGAGGATTCTTTCTTTGCCATGTACCAGCACATCGGTGCGAAGTGGGATGCCAGGCATTGAAATGACGAACAAGGTGCATAATCTAAATGTTTTGTTCAAAGAGGTTGTTAATTTTTTTAAAAGGTGATCTTTGCTTGGGAAACATTGCTTGCTTACCTCAAATTTCTTGTTCAATGAAATGATCGCTCCGCATTCCCCACATCTTGCATGTAGTTTGTCGACCAGTGACACCCGAACCCGGCGCCCCAGCTTTTCCACCTGATATTCTTGTTTCAAGTTTTGCGTCAAAGCAAATTTTCAAACCATTTTCTTTTTTAAGCAATCATCCAATTGTTGTAGTGTCATCTCAGCTGGGCAAACGCGAACCTACAAGAATTCAGAAAAATTTTTAAGCTATCAACAGCAATTACCGAAGAAACTTTCCGAGTAGCCCTTGGTATTCCGTATCCATAAGGGAGTGAAGTACGATAGCCGCTTTCCATTGATCGTTTCTCGTTACCAATTTTTTCTCGAAGCCACGCTTCGTAGGGAATTTCTTCCAGTTCGTTCGTTCCATCACCGAGAACCTGCAAACAAAGCAGATAATAAAAACCTCAAAATGTTGCTTTCTAGGTTAAAATTTACTTCAGGATGAGCGTTGGGCAGATGTTCAGACATCAATAGTTCTTCCGGTACAATCTCTCCACAAAGTCCACAACCGATATTCTAAATTTTTTACTTTTAAGCTTCTTTATAACAAGACTCCATTAAAATATTCCTTGACTCACATGTTTGTCTAGGAAGTTGAATTCAACAGTTCGCACTTCTCCTTCGCCGGGAATCACAGCAACATCACCATCGACGTATTCCATAGCTATAAATAAATCGATCAAATGCTCGATTTTAATACAAACTTTCATCATCTATGTACTCGCCCTCACCGATCAGTTCTTGCTCATCATAGGCAATCTGAATTTAATTTCACCTACGATTAGATAGTGTTTGACAAGCTTTTGCTTCAACTATGTACATCATATAATGAATCTCACATCATTTTCATGAAATGTGACTTCTTGCGGTGGAGGAGGTGGTTGTTCAACTTCAGCTACTTCGGGCTCCAACTCTGGAGGTCCGTCATCATCCTGAAATTTCAATTTTAAATTTGATGTTTGACGTTGTTTTGAATTTGATGTTTGTTTGTTTTGTATTCAAAATGTTACATTATCATCAAGGTTATCATCCGTATTCTCTGGCATCATCGATGAAATTCTCTTTTTGAAACTTGCTGGATCGACTCGACTCAACGTTTTCTGTCGAGTCTCCTGTTGGTCGATTTCAACAGTTTCATCTAAATTTTATGTTATACAAATACCAATAAATCTGGATGCTAAATTTAATTTGTTAGATAGATTAAAAAGTCTGAAACGCATTCTATTCTTTTTGTGATAAGTCAGAGTTGATTTTTGTTTGCGAACTCACCAACGATTTGCACTTCATCACCAACGTTTTGCATTTCATCGATTTCTTGCACAAACTCACCTTGTTCATTAATGTTTCCAAGACCTGATGTACCATATAATCGTAAATTTAAATACTTTTCTAATGAATACCTATCAGTGTTCCATTTTCACTGTACATCCCATAAGCAGCACGTGGTACACCACCCTCCGAAATCATCAGAGACTAAATAGCCGATTTTACAACTTTACGTATTTTGCTCACCTCCAAAAAGATATCGCGATCAGCAATTTGAATTATCAGTCTTTGATCAGCTTCCGAAAACTTGCCAGTAGTCTAAATTTTGAACAAAATTAAGAATGATGCTAAAACTGAACCTTCACAACGTTTTGCTGCAAACGAGTTATACCTAATGAAGCTCTTGAGGTTGAGGGAAAAAATCCTAAATAATTCTTTGATTCTTTGTCTTACTCCAGTAAACTACCTTCCCTATCAACGGTTTGAGAAAACCTTCCAGGATGGGATTTGTGTGAAATCTAAATAAAACTTTTAGTTTTTCGCATAAAATCTGAAAGTATGAAAGTTTAATACAGAGTTACCCAAACAGTAAAAGTTAATTAAAAAATACTTGTTGCCGTTGGCGAACGAGCGTCGGATGCTGTTTGGTGACTTGTGTTTGTAGAACTTGAGCGGCACTTTTTGGTGGGGGCCCATGAGATCGGGGAGGGCCCGCTACCTGCAAACACTTTTTGCAATAAATTTTGTGTTTTGTAAGCTTTAGCTCTTAAGTATATGTGAAGTTATCTGTACGAACAGCTCACCAATAATGGAGCAGCTCGAGGTGGAGGAGCTTGAACTGGCTGTCCTGGTCTCTTTGGTGATTGAGGTATATCTACGCAAAGAAACAACATTATTCTCAAAAGTCAAAAGTTGTGGCAAGAAATTTCTAAAAATCTATTTGAAGTTACTTACGGTGCACTTTCCTCGAAAGAATGGCCGGTCGTTTTGGTGATAGCTGGGGTGACGAAGTGGAAATTTCCAGATTTTCAGCTACATCCACATCAACCTCCATTATAGAGGTCTTTTGCCGGTATACATCTTCCGCAAACTAAAATTAGATGTGTTAAATTGTTAAATAAACACGATTTACCCCATCTTGTTGTGGAGGCGGCGGAGATTTTTGATGAATGATCGCTGAATGATGCTTATCTCTTGCCATCAACATTTGTTGTGGTGGAGGTGGTTGTTGTGAAAAACGTTGAATTTGTTGAACGTTCGATGCCATTTGTCTGATTAGAGTTCTCACTGGTTGTTGCGGTTGTTGTCGTGATTGTTGTATAGAATCATTTGGTTGATTCAAGTTCATTTTTTCTCTAGGGTAGGTAGTGTTGTTGGAAATGATTGGCTTGCTCCTGAAATATATTTGATTCTAACAAATTCGATAGTGGCTAACCGTTTAGCTAATATAACTAATAAATTGTTACATTTACTTATTTGACTTGTGGGAAACATTTCAAAAGTTTTTTTAAACTGACTCAATTTTGACCGGTGATCGCCGCAGTTGTGATTGCATTGTCTCTAGAGGTCTCTGAGGTGACTCCATTTCTTTGTTGTCAGCGTTAGACGTGGCTCGTGTCTCCAATAAGTTACGTGGTTTTCGTGAAGCGGTAAGATCATAGTCGACATAGTCATCTAAAACAGGCATTCTATAAAACATCGAAAAGCTTAGTTTTTACTTACATACTTCCAATAACAACTAACCAAATGCAGCCGGTTTCCGTCGTTTCCTTTGGTTGCGCTCCTCTGACAGTGATTCTATTGTAGAGGTGGTGCTTTCATTTCTCTTTCGGCTCGAACCACTTGCTGTTTTTGAATCGTCTTGACTAGGGTCAATGAGCCTGAAACTTCTTCATTTTTTAAGGATACCTTGTTGAAATTCTTCACGCACCTCTTTTGCTCCAAGTTATCCACTTCTTTTTGTCGTGTAATTTTCCCGTCTGTTTTCATTTTTGCTGGCTTTTCCACAATTACCTAAAATCATTATTCAAGGTAATCATTTTTCCATTTGTTTTCTTACTTGTTGTGGAACCTTTTGCATCGCGTTTAGTTGCCTGCGAGATCGAGGGGATTCCATTCGAGCCACATCAGCCGTCTTTGAAATCGCATCACTGGGTTTAGATTTAAAAATCAAATGTAAATTTTAATCTTTCTAGGTGTATGTCAATGTGTTTGAAATCTGTATTAAACAGTTTTAAAGTAATCGTCGGGTTACCTAGTGGGGCTCATTAACTCCTCTTTTGATCGACTTGTGTTGGCTTTCTTGATGGTCGGATCATCAACGCTAATAAACAAAAATTTAGATAAAACTATCTGTATACCTTTTTGTTTCTTGAGTTGATTCTTTTGTTCCTCTTCTAGAAGTAGACGGGTTCGTCGGCTCGTCTTTGATTACTTTTTCTGGCAGTCCTCTTTTCCTAAATTAGAGTTAAGAATATACAGGTTGCGTAGTCTTTAGTAAACTATGAATTTAGATTTGTAGTGACAATGAGTTTACCGATTGATTTACACGAAAGCTTTATTGAAATTTATACCAACTTTGTCTCGACGAAGCTTTCCTTGATTGATGCTTTTTCGCTTTTCTTTTCCGCTTTTTTTGGGCTTTTTGTTGCAGGTTTTGCTGGTAACACTTCTAGACCTTTTCTTGTCCTGAAATTAAAAAAAATAAGTTCATGTTAAGTGATGTTTTTATAAGTGATCTCTATGTGCAAACAAGTAAATATCAATCAAATCAGTTTGTTTTCAAGATTTATTGCTTAATACGTACAAAACTCCAATACCCCACCTCATTCTTTTTGAAATTCGACTTCTGTTTTGATGACGTATTGATTCTAAATGAATAACAAAATGTATTCCATTAAAAATCATGAAAGCTCCGAGCAAAAACACAAAATCGATCATTGAAAAGAAAACACTAATTCATAGCTGTGGTTCTCATTTGGTGGTTACACTACGTAATGGATTCAGACTCTTGGGGGTATAAAGTTAAAAGAAGTAATTATCAAAATGGTCCTGTGAAGATTGTCTGAGAAGATGCCTAAATGGTGAAGGGGTTGTGGTTCTAACAAGAGCGCCATGGGACTTCGCTCAGCCTCATTCAACACACAAAGCGACCGTGACGCTTTTGAAAGTTTTTTTGCGAAATGACTATAAGGGGCGAACGTTCGGAGGTGTAGCACGTGCTTTTTCGAAAGATTTTTTAAATCTCGCAAATAATAAGCTAACTTTACTCTAATGCTTTTGACAGTCGGAAAGACAAAAATCTATTTTTGCTACACTAGCACCGGACCAATATTCTTTAAGATAGTGTCGTCAATTACAATTTAAATCAAAGTTTTTTCGGATAAAATCAATAAGCAAAATTAGAAATTAAGAGTTGTGCAATTCCGAAATTATCGTGCTCCCCGATTATCTGCCAAGGTGTAATTGGGAGAACAATTATTTGGAACGAACGACCATCTATAATTGGAATAGCATTCCCTTAGTTTAGCTAGTAAAATTAAGTTTAGTAGATTCAACGAGTTTTCCTTTTTATAATGTATTATATATAGTATAGATTCCATAATCTTTCTATGGTTTTTAAAATATCGTTACCTCTTTTTATGCAATATCACAACTAATTACCTCTAATGCTATTCAACATACCTAATTTCACGTTTTTTACTTTGCTTTTCAGGAGGAAATATTCGTGAAGCTACTTTTATGTAAAAAATATTTTCAGATGAGCAGTCGCAGTCATGGAAGCTCATCGCAGCGTCATCAAGGCCGGGGAGAACGAAAAGAAAGGGAGCGATCCAGAGACAGGTAGATAACAAAGGGTTGTAGAGCTTTGAAAATTAAATTTAATAAGAAAACTTATATTGCCTTATTAAGATTAAGGGGTAACTGAGAGCTTAGATAAGACCTTCTAAAAAGTTCAAAAATTTACACATTAAATCTTTCAGAGAACGACTTCGAAAGAGTTCCAATCATGAGCAAACTGATGGAGCAAAAAAAATGGTTGATTTGAAAGCGAAAATACGAGAAGGGCTCGCACAAGCAACTACACTTTCCCAGATAAGAGGAGAAACGGTTAGTGTTATTTTAGCTAATTCAAGCTTAGCAGAACATCCTAATAAAGTAGGCCCATATATGTATTTTAGGTAAAAATCGTCTCATTTTTGAATTTTTTATGCAAAGAAAGCATCGTCAAAACAATCCTTATATCATTGTTTTAAAATCAATTACGTACAGATCGCAAGCACGTCGACTACTATCATAAAAGAAGAAGTCAACGATCGGTCATCGCTTTCTCGATTGCGACAAATTGAAGCGATCGCAGCAGAAGAGGGGGGATTTCGTCAACAGCATTTCAAATCGACCGCTGGTGGTGCTGGTGGAAGAGTTTATGGCAATAAGGTATGCAATATAGCAATAAAGTAAATTATTGCGCTGAAGCTTTTCAGAAAATAAGTTGGGTTAAATGAAGTTATCATTTCCTAAACTTGTAACGATGCTTGTTACAAATTGGCCTATAATTTAATATTTCTAAATCCAAACAGTAAATCAATAATGAAGCCTTTCAGAAACAACAACTGTCAAGAATCGAAAAAGCGATCAAAAAGGAAGACGCTCATGAAGAGTCAATCTTTGGTCCAACTAAACCGCAAACTCTAGACGATATTTCGTTGCCAAAAGATCCAACAAAAGAAGGAAATGGAATGAAGATCCTTTTGCATCCATCTCTTTCAGAAGATCCGGAAGTGAGAAAAGAACGTTGGTTGAAGATTTGGACTCAACGACGACGTGAATTTGGAATTGGATAAGATTGAAAAAGCTATTTGTTGTTTGAAAATCAATGTCTTCGTCGCTTTTAATTTTTAATACTAAAATACTTTTAATATACTAAAAGTTTGTTCTTCATATTAATGCCGGTGATTTATTATTGCTAAAAAGAATCCGATTCTTGAATATGCCAAAGTATAAAAATTTATTCAATCAAATAAACCATACGTACAAGCACTACTAAAGCAAGAATACCCGAAAAGGAAAATTGTTTTGATCGGTCCAATAAGTTGAGTGTTAACCGTTGCTTCAAAATAAAAAGAAAACGATTTTTCTATAATTCACAAGGCACAGTTATTGTGGTTCTTCTTGTTTCAAGAAAAGCTGATGACATCAAACGTGAAAAACGACGTTCGTTCTGAAAATCATTTTATTAGTTCATTGGTTTTAGAGTTTAGGATTCACATCTACTTTTCAAATTGAATATTTGATTTAGCGATGTCTTTTGTTTATTTTAAAACATATTTTTTGATGCCATTTATATTAGGCTATCCAGAAAGTCTTTTCGTTTCTTTTCGTATTTCCGTTGAAAAATAACAAATTCACCAATTAACCTATGGTTTACTCTAAATAAAAATTGTTTACTGTCTCAATTTCCCATCTTTCTAAGTCAATTTGGGTTCACTTTCAACCAAATTCGAGAGTGAAAACGTGTTTGTCTTGAAAATCTATAAAAACCTCTACGAAGAAATTGGCTGAATCAATTTCTCTCAAACTTTGGCGATATACCTAACTTTTTGTGCTCTATCTTTTATCTACTGACACCAAAATCCGTTTCTTTGGATCAAAGTGTCTAAATAGCATCATCGAGCCGTCGCCCTTTTTGACTACCCGACTTGACGCTCCCTAAAAAGATCTAGAAATAAGATATTTTAAACCCGTTTTAATGTTATTTTGCAGAAAAATAATGGACCTTTTTAATGAAACAAACGGTAGTTCGATTGGTGCATTTGTTGGTTTTAAACGGAAGTACAAAAGGGAACGAAAAGACTTTCTGGACAGCCTAATAAATTTTTTAGTACGTTGATGTCTATCTACTTTTTGTCTAAAATTAAACGTATCTACCAAATTTAGCATATCAAAGTACTAAAAGTTTTCTAATTGTACCATAATTTGTCACACTATGTTAGAGCATTATATAGCGGCTTCAAAAAGAAATTTTAAATACAAAAGCCTACTACATAATTAAATTTCATTGTGTAATTCAAAATTCCACTATGTAATTCAACTTTCCATTATATAACAACTAGGTATTATAATTCAAAGTTCCACTGAAAATAGTCTAATTGATAAGTGAGAAATCATCTCAAGCAAAAACGAACGAAAACAGAAAAAGAGACAGTTCTCGTAACAACACCTTTACGAAGGACAGAGAATTGGGATGAATTAATCAGTGAATGATGATCGGGTATCCGTCATGAAGATTGCTCTCTTTTGTGAGATCACCGTCTTTTGAAGTGAAAGTGTTTTTGGTCTCTCTTCTTTTGTCATTCCAATTAATAAATCATCAGATGGTGTACTCATTCCATTTCTTGGTATGGATCCTCTTGAATCCTGCCTTCCTCTTCTTTCCACTCCATTAGCAATGAATCCTTTTCGATCGTCACACACCTAGACACCCAAAATTGAAATATGAAATTTTGATAAGCAATCGGCTCTTGTATGATAGAATACAGAAGATGATAGAAACTTTTTGTAAACATGAAAGTTTTACGAAATTTTATCTGTATGTGCTTGGCAAGGGCCGGCAATCAAAAATGTTTGAAATTTGACTTGGAATTCAACGAGAGCCGGTTACGGTTATTTGAAAAGTTGTGCAGATCTAGGAACAAAAGCTTCGGAAATTTCGCAACCCCAGAAATCAAAAATGAAAAGTGCTTTGATAGAAAAAGATATAGTTTGGTCGACTGAACTTTTTAACACCTTAAATGTTCCATCTCTTCGTCGACATGTGTGCAAAAGAGAAGCAAAAGCAATTCGAAACTGCTCATTCAACAATGCGTAGAGAATCGGGTTCCAAACAGTCGAACTGTAACTTTATGCTTGCTTTCTTTTTTTGCTTTTTTACCTCATTGAGATGCAGTGAGTGAGTACGCCAAAAAAGTATTTCTGTCTGGAGACAAATTTTGGCAACCACTCATAATCTCGCAAAAAGTTGAAAGCGACTGATGGTAACCAACAACAAAAGAACACACCAACCTAAATTTAAAATTAAGAAGATGTAACAACTATAAGAGAAATCTTTCTGTTGGAGCAAATAAAGCTAACAAACCATTGCGATCAACATCCGATTTGTCCTCAATCGTCGCTTCATCGCATTTTTTCTTTGTTCAGTCAAGACTCCCTCTTCGGCTCGTACAAGCACTCCCTATATGTAATTTAATATTGATTATTTGAGTCATTAATCCTTTAGCATTTGATTCTTTAGCAGCTAAGCTAGCTACGCGGTTGCTTTGCTGAAATCTGTTAACTTTGAGAACTATCATCTGGAAATTTGCATTTTCAAAATCTGACCACTCCCCCGTCTTCTCACTTCTGACTACCCTTCCGATGTTCGATGCTTTACCCTCTGCAAAACGCAACAGGTGAAGCGAAAACGTGATAACATGCTCACGCACATACCGACAGGCAATTTTCAAAATTATAATAGAGTAGATTGTTTCCTTTGGTTTTCATCACTTTTTTTTGGGTTCTTCTTGTTTCCTGATCAAACTACTTACAAAATCTGCGTACTTTTGATGTTTGGCTACATTTTCTTGGTTAAAATCTTTAATTAGTGCGTAGTTTAAAAATTTTTGCAGACAAATCCAGTAATTTTCAATTTAAATTGCAATTATTGAGTAGAAACCTACAAAGGAGAAAAACTACATGAAATTAAATCCCAACCTTGCTCAATTTGATCGAGATCATCGCATAGCAAAAAGTGATGATGAGAAGTGGAAGAACGAATTGAATGATGAACACAAGAGTACCTGAAAATAGAAGGATTAGTGTAGATAATAGATAAAATAAGAAAATCTTATACAGGAATATATTCACATCCTTCGAAAACAAACCATAAATAGATTGAGCCGATTCATCTTCCCATTGTTCACTGCAGATCTCACCACAGTAATTCTAAAATAATGCTGATTTCTTGGAAGCATAAAATGTTACAAAAGGTTTCTGATCTATGTTTTCGAACAAGTTTCTGAAAGGGAAACCTGATATTTGAAGAGTTTCTGTTGGAGATACATGGGAATTGAGACGGCAAAGGCGAGACTCGCGTTGAACGCCACCAATTTCACCGCAGTCCACATTTGTATTGATCTGAAAGTTTTTGCCGTTCCGTTGCAAAAGAATGTGCCTAAATTTCCTTTTTTTAAAAGTCTTACCTTCTAGTTGGAAAAATGATCAAGAAGAAACGATCAATCGAAATTGCTGTCAATGTCAATGTAGAAAAACATAAAGATGTCCCCTAGAAAAGAAATTTTTCCAATTTTTATTGGTCCATTTTTCTCACCTGAATGAGCGGCACTAATTGACAGAGTTGTGGACCGAAAAGCCAAATCTTTGAGAAAGCATAGATTGGAGTAATAGATCCAGAAACAATCGACACAACAATGTCCGAACATGATAGAGAAACTGAAGAGTTTATTGTTAGTTGTGTTAGTTGTAAACATGTTGTTGAAAAAGTGTATGGAAAACTTACAAATGAAGACATTTCTCACTGATTGGAGGGCTTTGTTCTGGAGGACGGAGATCACTACTAACGAATTGCCCACAACTCCCAGCCTAAAGTATAAGAGGTAACCAATAAAATCAACATCTTTTTACATATTTCGTAAACTGATCAATAAAGTTCTGAGTCTTAAATTTCAGTGAATTTTTACTTACGTAATCAAAACCGAATAGAGAAATCCGAATATTGTCTGAATTCCAGGGAGAACAGTGATATCAGATTCATTCTTCCACATGATACTTCGAAGATCCACACAGCCTTCTTCTGATTCATCCATTTTAATGAATTTAAGACAGTAATCTGAAATATTTTATTTATTAAACTAAGCTCATTTTCAACAGCAAGCTATGCATGATTGTCAAACGATCCAGACAGAAGGAGTAACTTGCAATTATGAATCGAAAATTCTGCAAGAAAGCTCGTGAAAAAGTTTCTGAGAAACTTTTAATTCCTCGGAGATCAGACATTATTACTGATTAGCTAAATTAGGCATACTACTGTCAAGAATTCAAGTTATGGTGCATACAATTTTTAAATAGCAGCCCTGAAAGGGAAATGTAATAGTGGTTATGGAATGGATATGGGTTGTGCACACTTATCTCTTAAACTCTAGGAAATCCTAAAAAGCTTGAAAAACAACGTTTGTGGGTTACAATTAGTCTATCAATTAGTCAAATAATGTCAAAAGACAAATTCCTCGAGTAGACACACAAACTGTATCGGGTCATTGAGCGCAAAATTCCCCCACACTTGGAAAAACAATGAGTACAACGAAAACCATTTGTGAGTACAACGAAAACTGTCTCTAATTCTAATTCCCAGAGGAATTATGAGGGGATCATCGAAGTAGTCTCGTGTTACTTGACTAAAGAAAAAAAAGGAACTCTGTTTGAATTGGCAGTTAGCGTTGAATAGATTGATGACCTCAGATTGAAAAGACATCTGTTGGCTAGTATGAATATTGGCTATATTTTATGCCACTTTTTCAACTAAATCCAAACTGAAATGATGTGTTTTCTTGGAGAACTCGTTAAACTCGTGAACAATTTCAAGCTCATGAAAGTTTTCAATTTAGTAAAAATCTTGAAAAAGAACTGAAAACTGAAAAGTCTAAGTTAGAAAAAGGAATTGCCGAAAATCCTCAAAATGTGGGCGTTTTGAAGCCCGTCAAAAAGAGTCCCCACCAATCACCATAAACAGCTGCATTTTTTTCGAAAATCTCAGGAAAATGATAATCAAACCAGGTGCAAATTTGACATTCAATTTTTAAACACGAATTTTGAACTTTTTGGAAAAAATTTGACTGAAGAGCGGGAAGCAGATAAACTCGAAAATAATGAGGCGAAAACATTATGAGGAAATGAAAATTTTATCATTATTTGAAAATAACTATTATATTTGCAATGATTTTTTTAATTTAGACAAGTAGCTTTCCTTATTCTTTTTAAAGCCGGAACCAATTAGTCTCCATTCAAAAATTCATCTGAAGAAGCTGTGAAATTCCTCGTTTACGTCAAGATTCAATTTCCAGGAATTTCTCTAGATGAATACTGAATAAGATATTGAAATATTTTTTGGGACTTCTCCACTGATAACAATCAAAAATGCCAACCGAAAAGAACCAAATAAACCAAAGAAATGAAGCAAGTGTGCACACGTTTAGGAGCTTGAGAATATCAAATTGAATGCTGAAAGTAACACCTATTCCAATTTCAGTTTGCTTTACTAAAAAAAGTTGGAATTGAGATAAACCGTTAAATAAAAATGGCTAGAAAGAACACCATCAATTTCCTATTCTTTTTTTTCTTATGTGGGTGTCCCCGGGTCTCCTTCAATTTTTCCTCTTCACCATATCGAATTTCTACCCCCACTCCCCATTGACCATTTTTAGAGATCAAACTTGTTGAAATTTTCCAGGAGAGTCAATATTTGACTTTAGACGAGAAGCGGGCTTCAAAATGGTGGTTCCCGCAAAACTGACAAAAAAAGTTTGACCAAATTCTGGCTATTATTATTCAAAGACTTGATTGTGAGTATATATCGCATATCGCAAGGATTACGATTGCTGTTCTTATCCATTTTAAAATCTTTATTTATTGGAATCCAATGACCAATGGAACCAACATATCCTACAGAAACCAACTAAACAAAAGAAAAACAAAGTTGACTAAGACTTTTTCGAGACGGCGCGGGAAACTGCTTTGCAAAAAGATCCTTTTTTTGGTGAGAAACCATAGATATAAAGATTTTATTTTACTATTTGGTTAACGATTTTTGGGCATAAGCGATGATTCAGCGAAATATTATCACCAAAAAAGGTTTATCAAGGTTTAGTGACTTCATCTTCCAAATCAGATACTTCGTGGCTAACGGAAATATGAAGTTATCATTCCAAATAACACTGTTCTTGCTTTCGTAAAAAATATTAAACTTCAGAAACATTTGTAGATAAAAAATCACGAGAATTGAAAGGACAAAAATCGTTAATTCTCTTGGGTCTTTGCAACTTTTAATTGCAACGATTATGAGTATCGCACCGTGCAAAAGTTTTGCTTTTTTGTACTTTTGGTCAACAATTTGTCAACTTGAAGGGAAGTCAGATGGAGTTTATTTTTGCTAGAGAGACAAATATTTGTATCCAATTAAGGGGTAATATGTAGCAAAAAGCGAATTATCAATGAATGGTATCGTTTTCCTCCCGGAACTTAAAACTTGAATAATACTGAAAAATTGGACCTTTCCTGAGTGATTTGTTACGGCTTTGTTGATTTGTTACGGCTGTTACGGCTTTTCCCTTTCTCTCCAAACTAGGTAATGTGTTTCAATTACGGTAATTCACACGTATTTTGTGAAAATTGACGATTTTTAGTCATGAGTTTTAGAGAAAACTTGCCTTTGTCAACATAACAAAAGGGCCAAATTTTTAAAAATTAAAGCTTGCTAAAATCATTAAATGTTGTACATTTCAAATTTTCTTTTAAAACTCAAACATCTTTGTGATCTCAAATTCGAGAAGTTACCTTTTGGTTAAAGAAACCACTTTCTTTGCAAAAACGTTGCCGTCATGAATGTACATCATAATTACTGTAATCATAGAGGCAAAGATAGAATAAAATCTTTCTTCCAAAAAGCAAAAGTTTCACGAAACTTTTTTTTTCACCTTTTTGGGTACAAAATTCCCAAGACAGCTGAAAAATCAGCAAAAAGTTCAAAAACTTGATGATTTTTAAATAGAAAAGTCTAAAATTGGAAGTCTATGCCATACGATTTGAAGGAAAACTGATTTTTTCCTTTAATTTTTGGTGAATAAAAATGGAAAGCTTACTTTCATCCAATAACATAAACAGACACCTACACATCGACGATCTAGAACAAAAAGAAACCCCAATAATAAAATATTGAGTATAGTCACTTTTAAAATTTATTCTTGAACTAAAATTATAATAAGGTTTCATTGTTTTTGCCAAGGAAACCATTGTTTTAGATTAGTTTTAAAACTCAAAAGGTTGATCAAAAATCTCTTTTTGAAATTTGAATTTTTTGAAATGTTGAAATTGGCAGATGTTTTGTTTTCTCTAGTCATTAGTGAATGAATTCTATGCACGATTCTTGAAGGATTTTGCGTGAAATTGTAATAATTGAAAGCCATGAAAAAGAAGTTTAATTGGCAAAAAAAGTCTTTGGTCTTTGGTAAAAAAGAAGAATTTTAAAAAGGTTAGAGTAAAGCCAAGATAGAACACAAAGATCTTCGAACACGTGAAAGAAAGCAACAAAAAACCCTTTTCTTAAATAATATTCAGGCTCAAGTGGCCAAATTCTCACGCGAATCTCCATTGTGTCTCACTTCTCTCAAATTCGAATAACGAAAAAGAAAAAAAAATCTCTAGGCAATAAAAATGTGGGATTTCCGGTCCCTCCCTCTCAATTCCCGGACTCGTTCATGAAGAGATCTTGAAGAAAAAAAGACCCACCTACTAGAAAAGAACTCTGAAGTGGAAAAATAAGAGCCTTCCAGGTGTGGATTCAAATTTTGACCCACAAAGGTCGGTGACGCGATTTTTTTCCTCTCACTATTAGTCAACTCTGACGCTGAATGGTTATTTTGAGTGTATCCGTTTATGATCATTACTGCCACAACTACGAAAAACTACCAAAAACACATACCTATACCTAAAGTCTGAACACTTTGCAAAGAATTTTAAAGGATTTACTCAAGAATCTACTACCAATAAGAGCCCAGATTGATGTTCTTATTTATTGTTAGTCTTATCAAAGATAAAATATTTGGTTTCATTGTCAAGTTCTAAATGATTTCATAAAATTTACAAGTAGACGTGTATCAGACGCTTAACCAATTCATTCCTCAACACGAACACTTTTTCTATTTTGTTTTTACTCTACGACTAATGACTACAAAAATGTGCAAAAAGATAGAAGATTATACAAAAGGGTCTTTTCCATTTGTACTACAGTGAAAAAAGAAGTCAACACCCAAAACTTCACCCGAAATGCTAATCTGACGTGAAAATATAAAAATTTGTGATCAACGAACATTGGATGAAAACAAATTACTAAAAGAGATTTCATCGGCTTTAATGGAAACGATTTGAATGTCTGTTTGATAAAGGAAAAAATTCAGTATGAGTCGAATGAGATTAGCTCCGAGAAATTCCAGCGAAAACAGTCGGAGATTTTTGAAATCTATACAAAAGCGATTTGAACATGAAAAAACTGGTTGAAATTGGGGACTATCTAAAAAGCACAAGAATGCAAAATATTTAGGCTAACACTAAGTAAAATTGAAATTCAGTAAAAGTAGAAATCAGGGCTAATAGTTAGTGGCTCCAGGCTAGTATAGTAAAGTGTAAATGTGTCTCTTAGGTTATGAGATAGTACAATTGAAGCTATTGAATGTTCTTAAAACAGAACTTCTAAAAACTGCTAAAATGGTCAGTTGTGCGATGACCAGTTATGCTATAACACAAAGAGTTATCAAGAACTTGTCAACTTTAAAGAGTGCAACAGATTCAAAACAGACTCAAATTATTCAAAAATAGATTCAACAGATTCAAAGAGTTATCCAAAACACTATATAGAATAAGTAAATCAAATTTTGTATGACGTGGGTAGATTAAATCATATGATTGGTCACAATAAGTGCGGAAGAAATCCATAAATCTATTGCCCCATTGAAGAATTTTCTAATTTTGTTCAACTTTTTAAAATCATTTAGCATACGAACTGAATGATTCTATGGAAAGAATATTCTTTTTTGAA